TCTCATTTGTTTAGCTGTAGAGGAACCTGCTCGTTAGGTTAAATGAGCGTGAGTAGAAAACCGAAAACAAAAGAGCGTTACCTTGGCTCACGGAGGAGATAGTGTCAAGGAGAAGGTAACGCTGGTAAGACACGCCACCAGTACGTGACCTCCCACGGTATCTACTGGTAATTACTACATCAATAATACAGTCAGACATTAGACGTGATGCCATAAGCGATATTGACCTCTATCTTAGTACGTCAATAAGGCTCAACTTCCACGTTCTCGTCCGTCAGTGATAAAGGAGCTTCTTGGCTGTACTCTAAGGCAGGTAATAGCTGATATGGCTTTGTATTGTAAATTAAAAAAAAAATGTCTCTAGGTATTTCCACGATAACTAGCCTTAACCTGAAAAGAATTATAAATCTAATCCCAGAAGTAGACGAGTACGAAATTCCTTGTTTAGAATACATAAAATAGCCCTTATTAAACTGTGGCAGTAATGTAGGTCTCACACAACACCTGACAGTAACCACGTCTCTCACATTAACCAACCACCTGTTAAGTCTTACCGTACACTAACAATCAACATAAATTTAAAAATAATCCGTCATATTTCTTTTTGTTGATAGTTATCCGAACTACAGGGTGGGTCAGGTCTACAGGTGAAAAATTAAAGCAACCGGAAAAAAACATACGTAGTGTACAAGTCAAGGGCAATTAAGAGTTCCTGCAGCCACAGTTTTAGAGCATATCTACGAAAAAAAATTCTACAAGTACATAATCCCTCATATAACTACATATTAATAATCCTCCTACTCACATATGTATCTACAATAACATCAGTCATTATCTAAAAAAAGCAAACTGCTATACATAATAACCCGACTGTAGTCACTGTGAACCCAACGAGTGTTATAATAAATCTTAGCTCCCATATAGGACAAACGTTCACTAGGTTTATCGGGCCATAATAATCTACTTTACCTATCTACCAGCAAATCTATCTGTATAACGAAGCAGGCACCATCTACAATCGTGAGTCCTATGGCGGCTAGTGATTATAGTAATGTTTTAAGCGTAGGGTCGAATCACTCAGTCCGAAGGCTCACTGTCTCGTTCAAACTCCGGCCCTCACCTGACACCACTACCACCACCTCCCTAACTTGGCTCTTAACCCTATGTCCTCAAACATCGGTAGATTTTCATTTTTATTCGTCTTCCTTTTCCCCAAATCTGAATGATAAATAATTTGTTATTTTATAATTCACTGATTAATTATTCTCTATTCGCTAAGCCTCTATTATCCCATAACATTCACTCACATAAACTGGATTTAGTCAGGTTGTATTCTTGAAGTGTTTAAAGTTAATCAGGGATCATGATATATGTTATAGGTTTGTTTGTTTGTTGTGGTGTAGAGAAAAGGGAAGAAGGAACGACAGATACGCGATATTGACATTTTAGTTTCAGTATACAAACACACACACACCTGGACCCTCAGCAAGGTAAACCACATCACTACCACTAAACTACCCAATGACTTAATCCACTTCCCAGATTAACCATCATCCATATTATCCAAACATTAAAGTAACACAAACTGCCTTAGTATCCCTCGCGATCTTCCAGCATTATCCGCGAAAAATGTTTTAAAGCCCACTGTTTGGACATATTAATTCTCATAAGCACAGTGAGCTCGAGGGAACGGTGAACTGGGAGGGAAGACTGAACTCCGCTGTGGGTCTGTGTTTTGTCGCCAGAGTTGAGCGTATGTACAGTTATGGACAAAATTCTCTGAACATTTGATAATATCTGACATCATTTATTACTGGTTTATGATTGGTTTATATCTACTAATTCCTTAATATAAATATGAGACAATACGTTTAAATTCCAATCCTTTTCACCTAATGATACTCAGTTACATGCCTGATATAACCAAGTGATCAAGGAATTTTGTCCTTAGCTGTACACTCTCGCCTTCAAGGAGTTCAAAATACCCCAGACAGCGAAACTTTACAAGAAATTAGACTAAACTTACCGTATTATGTGGAAGCAAAGAAATGGAAGTACAGAGAACACATTTTTTGGTTTCATTTTCAAGATTACTTTTTAAAAATTAATGTCAACTGCTTTTATTTTTATTCCAGGACGAGATTTTTTTTTTAAGTTTTTAAAATCAATGTGTGTTTTTACGTTACACTTTTATTTAATTTAACGGTATAAGCTGTTTTAACTTGCTTGACATATACCCAGCCCCAGTTTAGGTATTTGTCTCTATATACGAGTGGTTCAGTAAGGTATGGCCAGGTAATTAGTGACAGTGGTTCAGTAAGGTATGGCCAGGTAATTAGTGACAGTGGTTCAGTAAGGTATGGCCAGGTAATTAGGGAAAGTGGTTCAGTAAGGTATGGCCAGGTAATTAGTGAAAGTGGTTCAGTAAGGTATGGCCAGGTAATTAGTGAAAGTGGTATGGCCAGTAAGGTATGACCAGGTAATTACTGAAATGGTTCAGTAAGGTATGGCCAAGTAATAATGACAATGGTTCAGTAAAATGTGGCCTAAATACAATATTAAACACGATTGGTCCAAAGGAAATTGAAGTTCAAATGCCCGTATGGTTAGTTCGATCACATACACTAAACTGTTCTCCTTCCTGTATCTTAACCCGGGCTTCATCTCGTAAAATAGGCGTGTTTTTGACCCAACATCGGATACCGGATCAGATGACGTGCAGCGTGAGAGTATATGAAAGAAAATTATTGATATTTTCATTCATATTGTGGTTAAGAAGCTGTAAATAACATTCCAATATTTGCTAAAATTATTAAAGTAAGAGTTGCGTCGTAATGAGGTGTGTGTGTGTGTGTGTGTGTGTGTGTGTGTGTGTGTGTGTGTGTGTGTGTGTGTGTGTGTGTTTTTAGGTAGTGTTGCCATGGCTTAAGTGATCAACGTTTGATACTATATTATTTTGATATGATATTAATTAAGCAGTCGATAAAGGTTTGATATCGTCAGGTCATTGCCCATAGTAGTATCATCCTGTGCGTCAATGTTCACTAATTGTAACATTATCCTCTGCTTGTTTTGGGACCTTTGACATAAGTCTTGATTCTTGTTATATTTACAATGTTAGAAATGTTTATGGTATTGATAACTCTATGGTATTGATAAAACAAAATTGGGTTTATATTTACGTGTAAGAAAATATCCAAATTTATAAAAAAAAAACAAGTATTTACTGGGATAAGAATGTTTTATTATAGGTAACATGCACAGTCACTCAAAAAAACTATCTTCACGGAAATTATGTTAAACAATATGACACAGCGGACGAAACATTTTGACAACCATACCGAGACAACGGGAGTCACAGTGTTCATTCTGAAATTCATCGATCACCCCAAATACAGATAGTTCTTTGAGTGACGATACAGAAGGAAAAAAAAAGACAATCATGCTGTTGAAACAAGAATATATCACTAAATACAGATACTGCTTCAGTGTTTTTACAACTTGAGGATTTATCACCAACAAGGTACTTCACGCTGCCAGCCATCTGAACTAAAGAATCTCACACCTTACAAGCCAAAACAAAGGATATTCTTGTTAATCACCTTGAACACCTGTTGATTTGACCATAATGTTATAATAATAATATCAGATGCACGTTCTTGGTGAGACAATTAATCAAGTTCAAACAATGGAAACACAAATTAAATTCCTGCAAGTGCTAAGTGATACATCTGAATTAATGATGAAATTTAGATGCAATATGACGCAATAGTGACCAAAATAAGGTGGACAAACCCCCCCCCCACAATAACTCACTATTCTCTGCCCACGATAGTCTCTTATGGTAAACAATTAGTGGTACATCAATAACGGTATACAGTACACTAAGTCTGGGTCTATGGGAGAAGATCGAGTGTCAACTGCTTACATTACACTCAACAGGGAACAAAATAATCACCCCGTAGCTTAATGTATAATGTGGACCCGAGAGATTGTTATTGCGAAGACAGATGCAATAAATAAATAAATAAATAAATAAATTGGTAAATTCAACATCGAGTTTCAATCAATCATTCTACCTTAAGTAAATCTTCTCCATTCTATCCTCACTATCATTCACATATAATCACACATTCAACCATTAACCATCTACATTGAATCGATGTTTATATGTTAATTGTTAGAAAACAAAAATAACATCCATACAGATACAGAATCCACATCAGCTTGTAGACCCTATACATCGAGGTACTGGTAGATATATTGTTTACTATCCATGTAAACTATTATGATGATATCGAATAAGAAAAAAAATAGTTACGGTTGTGAATAGTACCATACTTAGTCTAGTGAAATATGATCAATATTATACCCGTTTTACCCCCCATGGATCCAGGTGTGTTCACGACGATAAGGAAATAAAATGTAAATTAGGGTTATTAAAAAGAAATGAGGTTTAATTTTCATATGGGTGGACGAACGATTAACGGTGACGGACGATGAGGAGCGAGGAACGGACGATGATGAACGAGGAACGGATGACGATGAACGGACGACGATGAACGAGGAACGGACAACGAAGAACGGACGACGATAAACGAATAACGGACGAAGAGGAACGAGGAACGAAGAATGGACGACAAGGAACGAAAAATAACCAGCTGTCACAAAAACCCCACCACGATAACCGGTAAAGAAAAGTTTACTATACCAAGCTAAAAATTAAAATGAGTCCAGAGAAACCCATCATGTTTACGAGGCTACAGAGACACTCATTTGATCCATCATAAATAAATAAACATTATAATATCACTCAACAGCGGTCCAGTCTTAGAGAATGATAAACAAAATTGCCTAAGACTCTGGAAACCTGAATTTGTTTTTATTTTTTTATAATTTTGTAGAAAGAATTTAATATGAGTTTAAATTTCTTTCTCACAGTCATTTAGCTTAACCTCGCCATTTTTACCCACAAACCTGATACATTATTCATCAATCTATTACATGTGACACACTCAAATGGTTAACTTACACTCCAAGTTATTAATGTACTCAAGGGGAATTACTTAAATTAATAACACACTCTAGTCAAGGAACACACTGAAATCACCTGACTCGTTATGTGACACACTCAATTTCGCATGATGCACCTGATACAATAGTCTTATAACTTACTTAACTCTCCTGGATTCAGTGTGACAAACGAAGAATTAAGTACATAGGTAAATTCAGGTCACATCACAAAATCAACTCCAATACCCCTCCTGCTGTGATGTACAGTACATATGGTCAACGTCTCCGATATATTGCGTCACTGGGATAAGCTGTGACGTGCTCAGGCTGTGCCACGTGTCGACATACTCAAATTAAACACACCAAAAAATCAAGTCATGAGACACATACAAGTTAATAACAACAGGTATATGAGACACACACACACCCGTTATAAGTAACATGACAAGACTAAAATTCAGAACTTATCACATGGCATACTCAAGTAATGACAACTTTGGTACCTGATGCACTCAAATTTTGACAGTAAAATGACGCATGACACACTGAAGTTGCGTGCAACACACTGGACGCAACCTCAACAATAGATCCATAAAAATATATATTCGTTAATCTTGTTACTATTATACAGGTGTTGCGGGCCACACAGTTGGGCGTACCTTGCATAACAGTCTTATCACCATAACTTATGAAGAGACTTGTAGAAGACGAGTCATGTTTATAAAATCAAAACAAAGTTACCAAAGAAGAGAAAACAGACGAGACGTGAGGTGAGGGACACAGTATAGGTGGTCGAGATCAAGCCCAGTTAAGAGAATAATAATGTTGGTACTTGGGGTGTCTGGGAGCTCGTCGCCGTCACTGAGGTACAAGACTTGATGCTTTAACTTGTGTATGTCAGCACCGTCAGTAGAGGCTGTAAGGGGTGGGTGATTGTTGATACAGCTGAGGACCCTGTACCCAGACGTTACGTTACAGCTGTAGGTGTTGGCAGCTCCCTATCCCATCTGCCTCTGCGCGGCCTTCCTACCCGGGTCCTTGCCGCACTCATTATACATTTACAATATTCTTTAAGATTTACATCTAAGTTTACAACAAGGCTGACCAAGTAAAGTCAATCTTAAGAGGGTAGAGTACCGAGTACACAGGGGCAAGTGGTTCATTTGCTTTGCCCTGTGATACACCACACTGGTACCTGCCACATCCTGGGGGCAGCACCTGGCAGGTCGTTCTAGACGGCGTGCCTTGGAGGTCTCAGGAGACTGTGTGCTTAGCAGGTTCTAGGAAGTGGTACACTTGGCAGTTCCAGGCAAAAGGCATACCTGGCATTTTTTTTTTTTTTAGTTCGTGTACCTGGAAAATTTCTAGGAGGCAAAATACCCAATAGGTGCAGGAAAGCAAGAGTACTTTCCGGACCTTTTGAGAATCAAGGTATCTGGTAGGCCTTTAGAACCAACACACCAGATGGGCGCTAGAAGCATGGTACTTGGAATCTCTGAAGGGATAACGAACATGCCAGATTCTGGGAACCATAGCGGCCGAAAGGTCCTGGTCAAGTAGGCAGGTAAGTGTTGAGGACGGCCTCCATTTGTGGTGGTGCGAGGCAGAGGAGAGGCAGCCTTACGGAGTCAGATAAGACAATCAGCCATGGACTATGTGTTAGTTTCAGACTAGACAGTAAAATTAGTCCAGGACTCGTCAGAAGCAATGGACAAGGGTTTATCTAGAGTGGACCCACAGCTGGAACCTGACAGGGAGCCTTGGTGTACAGTTGCCACGAGCATTACCACAGCACACGAGAAGCGTTGATCCATAATTCGCCCAGAGGACAAAGGAAAAAAAGTTCCTAAACTATTCGACAGCGTTGGTCTGGGACTAATGAGTGCAAAAACACGACCAGTAGAGTGATAGTCTCGGTCTAGTTAGGAGTATAAGGGCAAGACTAGAAGAGACATTGGTCCGATAGTCCATGAACTAGAAAGATTTGGCCTTGAACTGCAGTGGCACGATAACCTGGAAAACGATTTTACCCCAGACTAAAGGAGAGTTGGCCCAGCCAGAGTAACTGACCTGTGACAAACCGAGAGGACAGTATGGATGGAATGGGAGCAAGACAGAGCCCTGACCCCTGGACCATAAGAAAGGGCTGAAGGTGACCAAAAGAGAGCGCTACATCAAAGAACAGAAGGGAAGGATGGTCCGGGACACAAAGTACTGAAGAGGGTTGGACCAGAGACCAGACGGAACTTGAATCAGGACCAGAAGGGAAGTTGGTCAGGAATCCAAAAGTCAGAATTAGAGCAGATGGGTAAATAAATACATGACTAGAGGAAAGGTCTGAACCAGGGACCAGGAGGGAGGGGTGACCAAGAACCAGGAAGAAAAAAGCTTGGACTAGGGACCAGATGATAGGTTTAGATTAGAGCCAGACAGTGTGGTTGGATCAGAGAGCAGAAAAGAGGGGGGGGGCGGGGGAGCTGACCCAGAACCAGAGAAGAATGTTGGCACGACATTAGATCTTGACATGACTGTACATCACCATAATATTGCTTTAATGACGATTAAGTCTATGTCAATATGTAATCTATCACTTGACAATGTCTACTATGGCATATTACTAAATTCACAGAGCCATTATGTGCAATGTGGCATTAACAATAATTTATGACTCTCATCACCAATTACAGCAACAGTCAGATGGTTGTGTGAGCTGTGTAGAACCTGGATCAAGGAGCAGGTGAGAGGGAGGGACGAGGCGCTACATGTGTAACTCAACGTGCGCCACGCCCCCATTATGGCGGGGAGCGGACCCGGTCACACATGAACGAGACCCCACCATACTGCAGTTGGGATCCTGAGGACTATCGTTTGCACCACTCTGCTCACTCTCCTTCACCAACAATTTACTGTTAACATTTGTGACTGTTGTCGTCCTGCCGTAACAGTTATTAATGTCACCAGCACTACCGTTCATCTTCACTCGACTCACAACACTGTGGCCATTGGCACGTCTCGTCACATCAGCGCCGCCCACTAATGGACTCAGTTTGGTGGGAGTATGAGGACCACGGGCGGGGCTGGTCCTTGGACTGCGAGCGGGGCTGCGGGCGGGGGTGTGGGCTGGGCTGGCTGCTGGACTGGAAGAAACGCTTGTCCGCTCACGTCTCGGCCTCATTGTGGGTGGACTGGGGGCAGTCTGATCACATTCTTTGATAGGAGATAGATGCGGTACTATACTAGACCGTAGCCGCCGGCGGGAAGGTCGAGGCCGCGGAAGCGACACTACTCGCACCTCCAAGTCGTCGTCTACGGAAAATTCACTCACAGATGTAGTGGCGGTACGGTTTAGTGTACGCAGCTGTGTCCGTGACCGCCCTATCGGGATCTGTGGCAACTGTGGTACAGAGGAAGATCGTGTCGGAGGAGTTCTGGGAGCGGTGTTTGTAGGGGATACCATAGCCGACCCAATACGCCCTCCCTGCTGTTGATATCGAGAAGAATAGTTTTGGAGATGACCTCTACCTACAGTTGGTGAGCGGACATCCTCCGAGGGCGTGGTGGGGGAGAGTCCTGGGGTGGAGGAGGTGGAAGAGCGAGGGGAACGGACAGCCGTGGTGGTAGTGTTGAGAGAATCAACAGATATTGTAGAAAGTAACGCCGTATCAGTGGTGGAAGAAGGGGTAATTTGGTTGTTTGGTGGGCGGCGAGAGACCGCCCATCCACAAACGGCACCCTCTCGCTGTGTCCCGCTCTCACGCGGGTAATTGCCGAAGGAATGAGCAGAGTTTGAGCCACGCAGATGATGACCACGTATGTACTCGTAGGTAGTGAATCCCAGGAATATGATGTAGGCGTGGAAAGCTGCAAGATGCACTAGTAGGACTTCTGCCACCAGGGCCACGGAAAACACGGTTGACAGTAAGCCGATGAAGGCGCCGTCATAAACAAAAGCACCGAAGATGGAGAAGTGGCAGTAGGGCGCCCCTTCTGAACATGTTAACGAAGCATCCCCACTGGCATCCTCACGCCCCTGCACTGCCTGTTGAGGTTTAGGAGACTCCCATGGCGAGAGATATTTTTTTTCGAAGTAGTAAAGGACAATCTCGGCGAGACAGGTGCCCATCACCAGCAGACACGCCAAAATGGCCGTGATGACACACGCCAAAAACACTCGATAGTTGCGGCGACCCACACAGTGATTGAGCCATTTACAGTGATGGTCGAAGACATCCACACACTTGTTGCACGCGCTGCAGTGTTTAGTTCGACTGGAAGATATTGTAATGTTGCAAAGGTGACATCTCCCATTTTCAATCACATGATTATGTACGTTACGATCAAACTCGGGCACCTGCTGAAGATCCTTGCGGGCCCGGAGCTGCGGGTCTGCTGGGTCAAGCGCGAGGGCCACGGCATGTGTCAGGACATGGGCGGCGAAGACGATGCCCGTGATGATTGAAAGGGGCATGGCCAAGCAGGAATGGAGGGCGGGAAGGACGGCGCCGTACATGAGGGAGGTGAAGGCGACCATCACCATCCATGCCAACACTTGTTGAGGGTGGAGCGGCAGTTGGAGGCCGTGCACGCGGCGTACACGGCGCGGGCCCGCCCACCATGGCCGCCCGTCACCCATTGCACACCACCATCATCACCGCCCTCTCCCCTCTGCGGCTTTACCACGACCGCACCCTCTCAACCTCCCGTACCCTCTTGGAGGGGCCTCAGTGATCGCTGGGGGTTCCTGCTGCATAAAGCCGCCCCTAGGTCTTCACACACACACAAACACACACCCCGCCCACTTATGCCCACACGTCCTCCGAGTCTGTTCGCCTAGATGCTGCCATGTGGGCGGTCACTCATAACACAGCGAAGCACCAAGAGGGCTCCAGTGGAAGCCGGCAAGCCTTAACAGTCTGGCTGACCGCCAGCCCCTCGAGACAGGCTCACTCTGCAACTGATGCTCTTGCCTTAGTGATCCTGTAGGAACCTGTAATGAAACATCATAGGAGGCATAAGTCACTTGTACAGGTAAACATGGCAGCTCACCTGTATATGTTGCATTAATAGTGTGCACCTACAGAGTACATATCGCCGGTACACTCCGCTTTCCTCGCATTACTTAAACGGTTCTGTTCTTTTCCATTCACAAACAAGCAGGTGTTTGTGATAAGCTGCTCACGTTAAAGAATAAACTAACTTATAAAACTTACGTGTGTGACAGTCCACATCACCTGCCACCTTCACTATGAGAGCTCAGCAGCAGGTGAAGACGCTCCCACAGCCTCACCGGAGTATGTATAGACACTTCATTATTCCTCCATTACTTTCTTTGTCATCATTCATTTGGTGTAAAATGTTCACCTCGCCAAGATTATGGATGGTGAAGCGAGCGTGAGGAGGGTGAAGCAAGCGTGAGGAGGGTGAAGCGAGCGTGAGGAGGGAGCGTGAGGAGGATGTAGAGTCAGGTGACGGTGAGCGGCAGGTAACACGGGCTGCTATAAACAAAGGCTCACTCAATTTCAGTTCAGTTCTGGATCACAAGGAGTGGCAATGGTTATACACACTGTCCTACCTAAACCTTAACACCTTATAACCTAACCTAACCTAACCGAACCGAACCGAACCTAACACCGTCTTAAAGTCTGGATTTAGTTCGTCTTTTGAATCTACAGTATTTTGAGGTGTATGATTATTTAGTGAACCCATTTTCGAGTGTGAGTTGGAGGGGGTTGTATCTAGTGAACCCATTTTGAGTGTGGGTTACAAGGGAGGTCGTATCTAGTAAACCCATTTTGATTGTGGGTTAGAGGGGGTTGTATCTAGTAAACCCATTTTAAGTGTGGGTTAGAGGGGGTTGTATCTAGTAAACCCATTTTGAGTGTGGGTTACAAGGGAGGTTGTATCTAGTGAACCCATTTTGAGTGTGGGTTAGAGGGGGTTGTATCTAGTAAACCCATTTTGAGTGTGGGTTACAAGGATGTGTATCAAGTGACATATTTTTTTTTTTACAGGAAGAACAAAACAAAATGTAAACAGTGTTATCTCCCTGTTGTTGTGTGATGGCAGGGGAAATTGTGTGTAAGTGTCAAGACAAGATTAAAATCACTCCGTTCACTTTAATATAATTTTGAAACTTTCTAATTAAGATTTAATCACTGGGAGTTTATTCCGTGAGGCGAGGCGAGAAGAATTAATTTTGCAGCAGACAGTGGCTAGTTTATTATGCACCCCATACTTCTCCTCTGAGTAGTAGCACACTATGTATTACTGAATAGAGGCCACAAAGGGCGTGTATAACAAACCCCAGTGCTCAGGATATTGTGCCATTGAATCCTACCTGAATATTTACAGTGTATTGTTTGTTTAGTCCAGTATATAGGAGTAGAGTTATGCATACTTGTGTCAGGGGCATACTGCCAGTGTGATAGGGGGCATATTGTCTGGCCGCATATTTTGTTATTCACATCAGTATGAGAGACATTCAAGATGGAAAAAAAAAGTGAAAACAATCTTAATACATCAGCTATCATGCCACCAGAGATAAAGCGTTGTTTCATTTCACACCCTCTGCGCTTGGACCCGTCCCCTAAAAGGTTGTATTTTCTCACGGTGTAGGACGGAGTGTTGGGAGAGCGTGGCCATATGTCTGGTCATAGTGTTGCGTTATGTGGTGGTGTGGGAGGGTTGAGGTAGTTGAGTTTTCCCCTCACTGACCCCACACCCCCCCACACCCTCCACCCTCCATGTCCTTACATAACCTTAGGCAGCTGACTCACCTGCGCCCCCCCCCACACACACAGCCACTGAGCGCTTAGGCACATATGTCGGATAACTTGTCGGATCACTCGAAATTATCCGTACCATCCTAAATTTCTGTGAGGTGATCCAATTAAATGATCATTAAGTGGAGGGAATTAAACCCAGAGTCCAAATATAATCTCCTCCAAATTATGCGAACAATGTCCCAAAAAGATTAGACCTGATCCAACTTTTCCAACTTTCCTAAGTATTGACGTCAGCAAAAAATTGTTGGTAGCAATCTCTGGCTCCCCGCAATATTACCCGAGGAACAATGTCAGGAAAGAGGTATTGAGAATATACTTTTCTGCTTTAGTGAACTGTATTATACCGTAGTTCCCAAGCGAGAGTTACATATTAAAGAGCAGCCTCACGATTCTCATGGTCACTCCCTGAACTTATCTTAGAAAGTATAAGTAACGCATTAAGAGGTATTCCTTTATTAGATGGTACAAGGATATTCAAGATTGTTTATCGTCTTGTCTGCGGACCCTGACATTACAATACGTTGACTATAAAGAAATCACCCAAATTAACAACAACAACAATGGCAGCTACAGTCCGAGTCAACCCAACGTTGTACACGGCAAAGCAGCTTTAAGTTGGCCAACTCCCCAGGTAAATCCACACAGGCATTTCCAATCCGTTTACTGATTAAATACATTGTAACCCAGCCTGACTCTCCCCCTCTACCACACGATAATCCACGTGTTTTTAAAGGCAGAATTACCATAGTGAGGTTTAGTGAACGGTATTTACAACACAATATATCAGGTGTTGACATAAACACAGTAATTGTAAACCTAACCCAACCATATGCTGGGTCATGTATCGGTAACTACTGGTAGAGGTAATTCGCTAATTTCCCTATAACAATCCCATCATCGTTAACATCATTACTGAAATACCTTCCACCCATCTATACCCAAAACCACACAACAATCATTATTAATCAAGACAACAATATTTTTTTTCCATCAACCTTCTTCAACTGATTCCGATTGTACAACATTTGGAAAGTTAAGTTAATTTTCTTTTTCAGTCTACACAAATATTTCTCTTTCTCCTGACGGTAAAAAAAAAAACTCTATATACACTGGACGGTCTTTCCCCCAATACACCTCAGTCCCTTATGTTTTCTGCTACCTGGAGGGGAGAAGCACTACCACAAGTCCTACCTGGAGGGGAGAAGCACTACCACAAGTCCTACCTGGAGGGGAGAAGCACTACCACAAGTCCTACCTGGAGGGGAGAAGCACTACCACAAGTCCTACCTGGAGGGGAGAAGCACTACCACAAGTCCTACCTGGAGGGGAGAAGCACTACTACAAGCACCCGGGTCTTCTCTGCTCCGTCAAACGTCCTCATGAATCACTATACCCACATCATTCCCTCCAGGCTATGATGACCTACACTATACCTACATATATGCTGTCTCTCATCACCAACCAGCTAACTCATTCCACTCACAACTGAACCTGAAGTATGAGTAAGAAATAACCTCTTTATCTTATCTCTAACGACCTAACTACTACTACTAATACCTAAACTATCCAATTGGTTGACCTTTTTTCTGAGTACCCATCTACCCCACGTCACACTTAAGTCTCTCTATCTTTGTAACTCCCTAACCTAACCAAACCTAACCTAACCTAACCTTAACACCTTGTAACTACCTAACCTACCCTCTATCACGCACTACCAGACGCTACAAAACAAATAACAATTCCTACTTCAACTATTACCTCCATAACTTCTACTTTCGTTCCTGGAAATTTCTCATAATTACAGTTTTTTTTTATCACTAGAACACAATTATTCTTAAAATGGATCACAGTGTCCACCCCCTCCTCCTTCCCCCTCCCCACTCCTCTCCCCTTCCCTCACCCTCCTCCTCCCCCTTCCCCCCTCCCCTTACCCTCCTCCCCCTCCCCTCACCCCCCCTCCCCCTCACCTCACCCCCCCTCCCCCCACCCCATTTATTGAGTATACTGACACATTAAAAAAAAAAATTATGTCCACCGTGCTCCCTCATAATTCCAGAAAGCCACATAATAAAAGGAATCCAAACACAAGCAGTGGCTACATACACCAGCCAGCCACTAATGCATATGATTAAGCTAATGTAAACAGACTACCACCACAATTAAACACGGCTTTTATGGTCGGAACTTTTTTATTGTATTTACTTTTTTTTATTTTGCAAAACGTAATATATGAAAAAATATATATACAATTACACAACACAAATATAGGAAAATATAAAGTGTGATTGTGATGTAATATTTATAAACTTTTTTGGGGGGGAGAGGGGGAGGGGGTGAGGGGGGGGGGCTAATATTAAATTCCCTTTTTGTCTCTCATGGAAAGAATCATTTATAGGTATTTTATGAGAAAAAAACTGTCTGGTCTTGTAAAATAATATATAGTACCTGTCTAGATAATCAAGCTATACTTTCATTCCTAAAAAAATAATAATAATACTTTCACTTTCCATAAAATTCATTATGGTAGATGTAGTATTTATTTTTGTCAATAACAAAACCAAACAAATTCTAACACCTCACCTCAACACGTCACCTCAACACCTCACCAACACGTCACCTCAACACCTCACCACCTCATCTCACCACACCACCTCACCTCAACACCTCACCTCACCACACCACCTCACTTCAACACCTCACCTCCCACCAACCACTGATACCACGGGTGCATGTTATGTATTAATCATTTATGTCTTCCGCGCTAAGTACATGGTTGTCGTCCGGATAACCTGGAGTATAGTAGTTAGATTTTCCGGATTTTACAAGAAGATATTTTCAAACGGGTTTAATAGGGATCAGTTTTCCGGAATTACGAGATATCAAAATCCGGACGAACGGTATTTAATTTACGCTTTCCGGAATTCCTAGACATTAAAATCCGGACTATCGACATTGATTTAGAAGAGGCAAAAATAGAGCTTGAAAGAGAACATTTAACTTGACAATATTAAATGAAATGACTTTAGAGTTCCATAGAAATTTGTTTATTTATTCCATACATTTTAAAAAAAGCATCGATGGGGTAAAAATAATAATTGAGACATAGATATTAAAACTAAGAGGAGCTTTGTTGACATCAGGCAGCAACAGTGTTAGGTTAGGTTAGATTAGGTTAGGTTAGATTAGGTTAGGTTAGGTTAAG